CGTACGTGTTTTGTGTTTTGCTTTGGTGCACTGCGTTTTCGCTCCAAATGACAACAACGGAGGCTTAGTGCTGCGTAGCTACGGCGGTTGATTGTTGATTCTGTTGTTGTCGTTCTTCGCGGTTTTGATTGCTGTACCTCTGAGTGGAGGAGGCGCCAAGGCAACCGCAGGTCAGGTGTAGTCGAACTGTTTTTTTTTTCGTGTCAGCTTCATTAATTATAGTTGATGAGGAAGACCAATGGTGGCGCCGCTGTAGGGTGGGGTAGAATCAGAATGCACGGAGCCACGTTGATCTCGGAGTATAATATCAGTATTGTGTTTCATGCGGTGCAGACGTCCTTTTGTGCGGTGCAGGACGTGATGTCCTGTGACGCTGCTACTATCGGGGTAAGTACCGGGTTCGTCTGTAGGTACGTTGTTTGTGTACCATACAGAGGAGTTCTGTGAGACCTAAGTACCCTACAGAGATTTCACAGATAGTTCGGTACTCTCCCCAGTATCTACCGAGATTTTACAGGAAGTTCGGTACTCTCCCAGTACCCTACAGAGATTTCACAGAACGTTCGGTACTCGCCCAGTACCCTACAGAGATTTCACAGAACGTTCTGTATTCTCCCAGTACCCTACCGAAAAGTTTCTGTGAGACCCCAGTACATACAGAGATTTTACAGAGGAGTTCTGTGAGACCCCAGCACATACAGAGATTTTACAGAGGAGTTCTGTGAGACCCCAGTACCCTACAGAAGTATCAGTACCCTACAGAACGGACCTGTGGAAATTACATCTTGAAGCAAAAAACAATCGGCGATGGCACATATATCCTGTCGGCATTGCGCTACAAATCAAAGCAAGCAACAGCAGGAGGGCAGACGTACAACAACAATACGAAATTCAAAAACCCGAACTTTCTTGCGGGAAAACTCGGGACCAACACGACAGAGAGAAGCAAAAAAAACAAATTTGCTGCTGTGAAGAAGCTAGGTGTGATGTACCGCGGTGGTGCACCAGATCATAAAAAAATATTATTATCTAGAAGAAGCTTCCACGTGGTGCACAAGGTTATCAAGAAGAAGTTATTAATAGAAAAGGAGCTTGTAGAAGAAGCCTCTAGAAGTCTTCCCAGCCGTCAGGCGGGGCGATGTCCATCAGCTTCTTCGCCGCAACCACCGGTTTCGCTTTCGTCTTGCTGCTCTCGCGTTGCGCCCTGCCCACGAATGAACAGATCAAGAAACAGTGGTTCAAGCCGGGGGGTTACTCTCATGTAAACGCATGCCGTAGTCGTTGGACCGTGGATTGGCCTTGCATGCCGGGAAGAAGCGATATGCCATTTTTTCGCCGCCTCAGGGCACTGGGGGTGCAAAACAACGGTGTGTGGGGACTAGGGAAGAAGAGTGCTTTGGGTCCCTTCCTGGGTCGGTTTATGCCTTCTTGGCAAGCATCAACATCAGGATAGGGCAGGCAACGGACGCAGCCTCCGCACAGCAAAACACGCACACGCACACAGGGAGGAGAAACATGCCAAACTGGACGGACGAAAAGCAAACAGCAGTGCCACAACAAGCTACGCATCGAGACAGACGCTGTAACCAGGGCCCTTCCTGCCTGCGTTGCTCGGTGACGTCGACATCAGGAGGCCCCGCGGATTCCAGGGGCTCCGCAGACTGCAGATGGAGTGCTAAAAGTTCTATTAATAGCTGCTTCTCCGGGTTTTAGCATTTACCCGTTCATCATGGGTCTGCCCGATTAGCACCGTGAACGCAAAGCAAAGAAAGCACACAAACACAGCAGACCAAAAGCAAAGACCTTTGACACACCTTCGGGCCTCCCGTCGCTTCTGCAAGGCTTCTCTCCGGCTCGCGGCGTCACCCGCCGCCGCCCCCCCAGCAGCACCAGCACCAGCCCCTGAGCCTCCCCTGCCGCCGCCACCGCCCAACCCCAACGAAACGACGCGCTTCGGCAGCGTGGGCGAGGGCGGCTTAGGCGGCGGCGGTTGCGCGTCGTCTCCGACACCGTCGAGGCCGTCCCAGTCCCACCCTTCCCCCGCGCCGCCGCCGCCGCCGCCGCCGCCCGCAGGAGCGGCAGAAACCCCTCCGGGGGGACTGGCTTTCTTGAGGCTGAGGATCGATGAGGGTCTCGAACCCGCGGCAGCATTGGTCGTGCGCCCGTTTGTGGACGCTGGTGCGGGCTGGACGTCTCTTGCGTCCTGCAATCATCAAGCGCGGGATGGGGGGGAGGGGGGGGGAGCACGCAGAAGAGAGTATGGCCAACGTGTCCATTTTGGAAAAGAGCGCTGTTCCTCTTTTCCGTAGAGAGAGACATCTCCCGCAAATACTCTAGGCCGGCGGGGGGGGGGGGGGGGGGG